TTAACAAGTGAGGTTGGGCAATAATAAAAAATTTATTTATAGACATAGCCAAACTTATATAAGAATTTCTTCGAAAATAGGATTTCAATAGTTTAAAAAAATTTTTAAATAAAAATTTTGATTTCAAATTGGTTCTAAGTCATTCTAAAAATGTATTAAATTGAATAAATAAAACGTTTTAATAAAATTTTATCTAATAATTATTAAAAAATCAGAATATAGCTAATAACATAAAATTATGCGGGATTTTTCTTTCTATGAAATCAAAACTATTTCGTATATGAGATTTGGCTTTTGGAAAAGAATCATTTAATATGTTATATACATGCTTGGAAAAGAAAAATGTTGGGGAACCAATAGTGGAGACAACAGGTCTAAGGGGGTTGTCTTTTTTGTGTGTTTTTGGTAAACCATAAAATTTTGAAAGATTTGCATTAGTTTGTGTAAGTTCAATATCATTATATTTCCTATTCAAAAAACCATTATTGTTCTAATGTTTTAAAATTTTATAAGTATCAGTTTTTAGTTTTGGTAATAAAAAAATGTTCATGTTGCCTGAAAGCAACATGGGTCTTTAAAGGGTTAATGTAAATCACCTTCCTCTTCGTTTCAAAGGCTCTGTACGAAAAACATTATACACAGCTGGGGCAGTACAGAAAATTCTGTACAAAGCTCGGAAATTTCACATCTTTACATACTCCGCGATTTATACAAAAATGCCTGTACGTCACATATAGCTGGTAAGTCCGGAGGAGATGGCCATAGTATTTTTAAAGTAGGGGAGACTAGGTGCAGTTGTTACAATATTGATAAAAACAGTTACTGTGCTTAGAGTTTAACTCCAATTTGTTTGGTCAAACGATTAAATCAAAGGTATATTATCTAGTTCAAAAAGGCCATCATTGATTTAGCTCTATATCTATTATTTAATTAACTAGAATCATTTGAGTGCCCGTGTAGAAACTGCCGTAGATTGCCTTATTAATATTACGGCTTCTGTAAGGTCCCTATAAGGTTGCCTTACTAACGAATTTCCCAATCTAGCCTTATAAGGACCCTATAATTTTCCTTTCAGGTTACCTTATTTATTTATCAGGCAAGAAAATACGGTCCCTTTTTACGGTCCTGATTGGGTTCCTACATGTGCCCTAAATCTATTCTATGATATAAAATTCAAAAAGACTTGAATAAATCGTAAATAAATATTATATTGTCATTCATTAATTATTATTAATTACTATAAACAATATGAATTATTTAAAATTATTGTTTAAAGTAAAACAAAATTTGCTTTTAAAAAATGTTGGAATTATAAATTATGTCATATATCCATGTGATAATATAATAATTTATTGTTTAGTAAATTATCTTATAATTGCCACAATTAATTAATGGATCAATACCTAATTGTTTATAATATTAATTAACAGTTGAAAACCTTAATTAACTAATGAGTCAATCAATTAATGTTTTCCACTATTGTTAATTATTTTATTATAAACAATTATGTATAGATCCATTATTTCATTTATTAAACAATAAATTATTATAAATATTTATTATTATATAAGAAAAATATATTAAATTTAAAATTAAAATATATAATAATTAATTGTTAATAATCATTAGTTATTATATAGTCACATGGAAGTAACAATAATTTAAAGTAATTATCTATACAATATTGTTAGAAGGAAAAATGAAAATACATTAAAGTCAATTCATTATTCTAACAGTGGATAATACCGTCCCTTCATTCAAAAAGGGAATATACAAAAAGTTTCTTCCAAGCTTGCGTGGCTATGCGGTATGCGTATTCGGTTTCGTCCTCGAGGTCTAGGGTTCGGTCCCCAGTGTGTGCGAGATTTTTCTATCTTAATTCAAAGCATTCTGTGTTTAATATTAGTAATGATAAGTAAAATGTAACAATTAATAACAATATTATTGTATTTTTTAATAATTTTTTTAGGTTCTAAATATATTTAGGGTGAAAATAGGTTTACTAATAGGGCCCGGATAGGCTACTGCGGGACAAATATTATAGGGACCGCATAGGATTGCCCTACAGGGTCCCTAACAATAATAAGGCAACCTTATCCGAACCTTATAATGCCCGGATTAAAATTTCTGCACGGGTGACAGCGTGTAAATTGTAACAACTGCACAAAGAGAATGTCGGTTGTTACAATACCAAAAATCATTTGTAACATTTCTAAATTGAAGACAAATAATTTTTTATAACCATTGTTATAAATTACACAGGTCAACAAAAAAAGACTTACTTTTTTTTATGAGATAGCGGAATGGTTTCCTATGTATTTTTGGACGCTGAACACGATCCCGACTTCCAAAATTGCCCATCACGTCAGGATTTTGAGAAAAGTGGGGGTAAAGACCTCAAAAACGCTTTTTTGAGGAATTTCAACATTTATTTTCTCTTTAACCTAAAGTGCTAGAGACTTCCACAAGGTCTTAAATTAAAGCTTGTAATGTGCACTAAAAGACCAATATCCATAAAATAAAAAAAAATTAAAATTTTTTTCAAAAAATGGGATTGAAGACACCAAAAATTTGTGTTTTTGGATTGCTTTAATAGACTTTTTGCAATTGCTTGGATTCGCATGAAAATGGTTACTTGGGGTTTTTGGGGTCGCTGATTACGAATCCGATATTAGTTTGCAAAAATTAAAAATGGCGGATTCGTAATCAGCGACCCCAAAAACCCTGAAATAACAATTTTCAAGCGAATCCAAGCAATTCTTAATTCTTACATCTGCCATCTTGGTTTCGCCGTTTTAAATTTTTGCAAACAAATATTGGATTCGTAATCAGCGACCCCAAAAACCCCAAGTACCCATTTTCAAGCGAATCCAAGCGATTGCAAGAAGTCTATTAAAGCAATCCAAAAACACAAATTTTTGGTGTCTTCAACCTCATTTTTTGAAAAAAATTTTAATTTTTTTTTATTTTATGGATATTGGTCTTGTAGTGCACATTACAAGCTTTAATTTAAGACCTTGTGGAAGTCTCTAGCACGTCAGGTTAAAGAGAAAAGAAATGTTGAAAATCCTCAAAAAAGCGTTTTTGGGGTCTTTACCCCCACTTTTCTCAAAATCCTGACGTGATGGGCAAATTTGGAAGTTGGGATCGTGTTCAGCGTCCAAAAATACATAGGAAACCATTCCGCTATCTCATAAAAAAAAAGTAAGTCTTTTTTTGTTGACCTGTGTTATTTATAATTTTTGGCTCAACGTAATAGTACGTGACAGTTCCATAGAGATGGCAGCATTAATATTGTTTCGAAATGAAAGAAACTTAAAAAAGTTTATTTTTATTAATTGCACCTCCCAATTCTATAACTCGATCTGTTAAGGTGAGTCCAGAATAGGTTTTTGTAAGAGTCGACGCTTTGGCTGTACGTCGATTGTAAGTGTCGATGCGACGTTTATCTCAGTGGTTCTCAACCATGTGAAATTGTGTTACTCGTATTGTTTCACTCGTATTGTTTTGACACGTGCCTTAGTGTCAATAATTGGTTATGTGTATTATCTTTACTATTATTATGTAATTTTTCAACTTTAATCAAGCAAGAGTGAGAAATGATGTTGAAAATTAATTATTTTTTCAAATAAATTGCGAAAGAATAAAATGTGGGGAAATAAATCTTGAATGTCGTTATGAAATTCTGAAAAACATGTTAAATCTATACTCACTAGGTAATATAAATAATCAAGTAAGAAACTTTTATAGATTTTCTTAATTTACTTAAAATTAAATTGTCTGTTAATTAATTATTCTTTTAGATTAACAATAGTCACGTTGTATTCTTCTCCTTGTGCGTCAATATAATCAAACACTAGGATAAATCGGAAAAGATGAGATGCTTTTTACATATTTTTGGTTTATTAGTTTCAAATTTGTAGTATTTGCTGTAAACGAAGACTGTTTAGGAACACTTTTTGTCACTTATATTATTTAATAAAATTTTAGGAAAATTTTGTTTCTTTAACTTCTTTTAATTTCGTAATAGAATTTTAAAAACAAATTAAATATACATAAATTATAAATTTCAATATTACAATACATTAGTGATAATCATTATTATAATATTCGAAATTTTCTTCAACAAAAATATATTAAAAGAGGGATGTATGGGATGTGGTGAGAGATAGGACAATTGAGAGACCAAGAAAAATGCAATTGTACAATCTTTTATTCTGTGGAGTCAGTACAACGAAGTATCAATTAAGATAGTGATACGTGAGAAGAGAATAACCGACGTTATGGATGTCGATAATTGTATCGTGACGAAACCATTGGTCGGTTGTCATCAGCACCACAAAAGGAATTGTCCACGTGATGAGATCGAACGCAGCACGGAATGGGATCCCTCAGTGAACAACTCGACATAGAAATGCGATTCTTGAAGAAGAATGCGCCACGATTCAAAAGAAAACTCAGAACAAAATACAAACAGGGAAATACATTATGAGAACATTAAAAGAAAAAGAAATATGCATTTGAAAGGAATTAAACTTAAATGAAATTCAATAACAATGTATGAAGTGAATAATGACAAATGCTGATGAAAATTAATGAAAGAGGAATAGAATTAGAGTGATTAATTATTTGGATGTGAAGTACGTCACCATCAACGAAGATACTTAGGATGGGCGATGCTGCTGATACGGCGTCCAATCAAGCACTGCACTTGTTGAGTGGAAAGACACCTTACTCGCACGAGACGGGAAAACTAACTGAGACGTCAGTCGTCACGAAGGATCTAACTTTCTCTCCCCACCACGCCGCTCATACAGACGCTCCGACGCCAGGCCCATTATTCGCAGGGCAAAACTATACCTGGGAATGACGCAGTGGTTCCCATAAACCATTATCAATGAAATATTAGTTTCTAAAGGGAAGGAAAACTACTTTTTTAACATACCGCCCGCCTTCGTTATATGTTAACGAAATTGAATTAAACAAATGGAGATTTCGAACTATAAGGTATCGCTAGGAATAGGCAAGGGGCATAGTTTTACAATCGGTCGAGTCACTACACCGACTTGAGTTTTTATGGTGGCCACTCTAGTAAGGTTGTCTTTGCCGGGGTGAGTCTGAGTTACTCTTCCCAATGGCCATTTTGAAGGAGGGAATCGCTCATCGACAATGAGGACTAAGGTTCCAACTTTTATATCATTGGTCGACTGATTCCATTTGTAGACCGCCTGATACCTTTGGAGGTATTCTTTTGACCACTTACTCCAAAACTGTTCCGTCATCTGGCGAATGCGTTGCCAGCGGGAAAGCCGGTTAGTATTGATGTCCTTAAGACTGGGCTGCGGGACAAGCGACAATGCCTGGCCGATAAGAAAGTGTCCTGGGGTAAGGACAGATAGGTCGTCTGGATCGTTCGTGAGTGGGCATAAGGGTCGTGAGTTCAGCACGGCTTCGATTTGTGCAAGAAGGGTTGACAACTCCTCGAATGTGAGGATTCTATTTAAAATGATTCGTCGAAGGTGATGTTTCACTGATTTCACTCCTGCCTCCCATTTTCCTCCAAAATGGGGGGCTGCAGGTGGGTTGAAATTCCAAGTAGTTCCATCATTTGCAATTAGATTGGCAAATTTTCCCAGTTCTTCAGACGCAGCAGAGAAGAAGCGTTTTAATTCAGCATCAGCCCCTTTTAAGTTTGTTCCGCAGTCACTAGTTAGGGTTTGACAGATGCCACGACGTGATGTGAATCTTCGGTATGCTGCTAGGAAGGCGTCAGCAGTGTAGTCTGTTACCAGCTCAAGATGTAAGGCTGAGGTTGTTAAGCAAACGAACAAGACAAGATATCCTTTGTACTGTCGAGCCGCCCGCTCTGACCAAGTCTTCAGATTAAAAGGCCCGGCATAGTCCACCCCGGCGTGGAGGAACGGTCTGGTCGAGGGTACAACTCGGCTGGAAGGCAACTGGCCCATGAGTTGTTGAGCGGTTCTCCTTCTAAAGGCGGCGCATCGAATACACTTCAAGATGTGTGATCGGACAGGAGCTCTTCCCTTTAATATCCAACATGTGGATCGAATATAGGATAACGTGGTTTGTGTAGATCCATGAAGCGTTCGGTCATGGGCATCGGTGATGATAAGTTCGGAGAGGTGAGAGTTTCGTGGAAGTATGACGGGGTGTTTGTTTTCGTGACTAAGTAAGGAGTTGTTCAACCTTCCGCCGACTCTAAGAAGGCCAGATTTGTCGAGGAAAGGTGTAAGACGATTTAGTGAGTGTTGTTTAGGCAATTGGTGTCCTGCTGAGAGTAACTTAATTTCATCCGAAAATGCTGATGCTTGAACTTGCTTTACACACCAGTATTTCGCAATCTCCAATTCCTCTGGAATGAATAATCGAGAGGCGCAACTACGAAAGCTTAGATTATTGAAAACCCTTTGACACAAGGAGACAACCTGCGGGTTGCGCGCCTACTGCGGTAGGCGCGTGAGGCTAGAAAACCGATCGATTATTTGACAAGGTGGCGACAACTTCTGTACGACATTTGTTTTTTTGATTTGATATCTCTCTAAGGCATTCTCATCACAAGAGGGATTTGGATTTGGCCAGTCGAGTGGGGATTTGGTTAGCCAAAGTGGACCTCTCCACCAGAGGGAGTGAACAGACAATTCGATGGGGGTTAAGCCTCGAGAGGCACAGTCTGCTGGATTTTCGTGTCCAGGGACTAATCTCCATTCTGCCTGTGGAAGAATTGTACGAATGGCATTCACTCGATTATGGACATACTCCTTCCATCGAGATGTATGATTATTTACCCATGTATGTACGATAGAGGAATCAGTCCACAGGAATAGAGGAATGTCACTGTTGTTAAACGTTTTTATTACTACAGACGTTAACTGGGATAGCATTAAAGCGGCCAAGAGTTCTAGTCGGGGTATCGTTTGTCGTTTTAATGGGGCAACTTTGGTTTTTGCTTATAGAAGAGATGATCTGACTGCGTTATCAATGGAGATTCGCAGGTATACAGCTGCAGCCAACCCTACCGAGGACGCATCCGAAAAACCGTGTATCTGTATTTGCGCATAACCAGTTGAACCTACCCAGCGTGGGATCTTTAGCGACATGAGCTCGGGGAGCTGATTAGCAAAATCAGTCCACCGATGAGCTAAATCCACAGGAATCGGATCATCCCAGCTCACTCCCTTTGTCCACAATTCTTGAAGAATGAGTTTGGCTCGAATGATAACAGGGGCAACAAGCCCTAGGGGATCAAATAACTTCGCAATCAATTCGGTTACTGTTAGATCAAATACGAAATCTTCATCGCTTTCTTCATCTTGATGCTTAAACGCAGTTTTGGAATGAGAAAAATTGCTTACTGTTCTAAAAAAAAATAAAAAACCTTTTACAAAATTTTTTAAACAATTAATTAAGTTCTGTTAACTTGCTCCTCTATTTTCTATAATTTAAATAAATAATGTTAATTTTAATGTTTAACTTACTTTCGATTCTTACGGTATTTTTTCAAGAAATCTAACATGTTAAAATGAGGCCAATCAGATTCAACATTTTCTTCAGGAGCACCTGATCCGGAGGCTATATATTTGTTCAATTTTTCACGTTCAGCAAAATATCTGTCACTTAATGATTTCCATAATGCCTGAATTTCTTTAACTATTATAAACAAATTATAATGAATAATAATAGAGTAATGATAATAAAAATAATACTAATATAATCAATTAACTATGTTTATCATGGAATAGAATTAATAAATGACAATTACGTACCTGATGTTTCTTTATTTGATATTGTAAATATTGTTGTTGCTATTTCTTGCCATTTTTCTTTTCTTTTCGTAACATTTTTAAATTCTTTCGACTTTTTAGAGTATAAATAATCATATGGAGATACCAACGATATTAATAATTCTTTTATATCAATTTCATTGCATTCACTCATCTTAATAAGTTATGAAATAAATATACAGAACACCAAAGAAATTACTAAAAAGAAAAATAATTTAATCAATTTTCTTCTGTTTTATAAATAGGTTAGTTTAATAAACTCACCCTGGCAAAGTCAGATATCTGAGATATATATAGCCATAATAGAGTAGTAATTAAATTACTTATTTATTCACATATAATCCTAATATTATTAGGTTACAAACATGATAATAAATAATTATAAATTATTGATTTTCTTGAATTTTTGAAATTAAAGTTTTTATTCAAAATATCTGTTTCAATTTATACATTTTTTTAATTGGAACTTATCTTTTTAAATTCAAACTCAAATTTAGAAAATTCTTTAATAAGTGGAATATTTCAAACTACAAAAATCCTTGTATTTATGAATATAAGCACTTAAAAAGCTGTCATCCCAAAATAATAAATTACGAGACCATATTTTCTAAATTTTTTGAACACATATAGGTACTAGTAAATAGGTATCTGTCTAATCTGTATTAAAATTAAGATTAAAAATTAATGCTTTTAGCAATGCAAGTTTAATAATAATTTAATTACCCATGAAAAATTCAATTAGTTTATAAAGTTTTTGTTTATTTGTGTGAAAATTATTCCTCCATCTAAATGAAAGTTTCAATTTTCAACTTAAAATATTAAGTGATATTCATAGTAGAATATATGATAAATATTATCATAAATATAAAAATATATTATATTTAACTCAACATGAATTTGATTAATAGGTGTTTGCAATTCTCCTGTTTAAGCTCACAGAAGTATTTGAATTAGCTATGTTTATGTACGAATTTTCAATCGTAAATAAAAAATAAAAGAATAGTCACTTTTACATAAAAATTGGATGATTAATTAATTAATTATTTATTATTATTATGAAGCTTTCATTCGTTGAAACTCTTCAATTATTGTTAAGACATCCATGAATGCGTTTTCCTGCTCTTCATCGTTAAGAGTTAACCATTCTTTCCTGACTAGGTTCAAAAAACCATCATCACAACGGATAGGTTTAACGCAATGTAAGTCTCTCGATTCAATACGTTTCTTTGTCATTCGTTGCTGCAATTCCAAGGATTGTAAGGAAATTAACTTTTTTGTACTTTTATTGACGCTTTTAAATTCCTTACAGAATTAAATTATTTCCTTTTCTACTAATTCTGTTTTATTTTGTTGTTGCTTTAATTTCTTTTTTGCAAATTTATCCATTTCTGGAACTACGTGCTGATTTCTTCGCTTATTTGGTCGATTGAGATTTTCTTTCAAATTAATGTTGCTAGAAGCATTTTGATTATTTTTTGAAGGAACATTAATGTTCTTGTCAGGACGTGAGTGAAAATTTCTAAATGGATTGTCGGGTTTATCGTTTTGAACAATGCTTTTTTCAAAAGTGTTTGGTAATTGTGTGATAATTAGCTAACTATTATTTTGTGAGAAGTGAGGAAAAGCGTCGAATAACTGACTTTCTCTGGAACACAATGTTGTTCTGCGTCCTGAATCATGACGTTCCTTTTCATTATTTCCAAAGTAAATACGATTCGTTTTGCTAGTATGTTGCATATTACCATACGTTTTTTCACCACAGGAACTGTTTTCTACTGAAAAATAGGAATTTTTTTGTAAAATTAACAAGAAATTTACTCGGGTACAAGAAATTGGATAGGAATTCTATTATAGTTGTGGTTCACGTTTAAAACTATTCGAACAAGATTAATGTCATATTGAAATTAAATAAATTAAAATTTCTGCTTATACACTTAACAGTTCTTATTAAAAAAGCAGTTTTCAAAAGAATGCAAGGCATGAGTTTATTAAGGAAAAAGTTTCTTTACTTTGCCTATGTAAAAGTTTATTATATAAATGAGGAAATACCTTCTACCTGTTGACTGTGAAAAGTCATTTCTGTAGACGGGTTTAAGTCGTTAGAACAGTCTTGAATTGTAATAGAAGCTGTTGACAATTTCGATTGTGCTGTAGATGCTGTAGATGAATTTAAGGTGTTATTAGAATAGTCTTGACTGGTAATAGAATCTGTTGACAAGTGCGACAGTGCTGCGGAATTGATTTCAGAACAGATGATATTACCCCTTAAATAATTCGAATCTTCTGAAAAAATAGATAATTTTAATGAAACAGTTATTAGATAATGATTTAATAATAAAAATGAAAAAGAAAATAATGAAAAAATTCAGCAAATGAATTTTTTAAAATTGCTTCATATTACAGAATTATCAGTTAATCGAATTTCCATTTAAAACAATTTTTAAGTTTGACTTTTTAAATAAACGGAACTTTCATTTAATAGTATTTAATTCATAGAATTTAAATTCAACATAATAACTACTTATCGAAATTTTTGTTAAATCGCATATAAATTAACCAGAATTTTCAGTAAACAGAGTTTTCATTTAAATGAAATTTAATTTTAATAAAATTTTTCAGCTGGATGTTTGTTCGGACAAAAATTCAATTATCTAAGAATAAAGTTAATTGACAATTCGTGCAAAAGAATTGGACAAATGAAAATTTGGTGAAATGGTAATTGTGGAATATGAAAATTAGACTTAGTATAAAAATTCAGTTAACTGAAAATTCTATAATACGAATTTTCGTTTGAATGTATATTATGTCAAATACAAATTCGAATAAAATAAAATTTTACTTCACGAAATTCGATCTACAGAAAATTATAAATAATGATTTGTGGAACTTATTCATGCCTTCCTAATAAACGAAGGTCATGTAATATTGTACTTTAAAAATAGTTTTGAATAAATACCTTCTGCTTTTTCACTACTCGGTAAAACAGAAGTTGTTGACGCGCTAAATTCGTTAGTAACGTTTGAAATTGCCATTAATTGGGGATCGATATCTAAGAAGATTCCATCACCTGTTACGTCAATTGGTTGTCCTGAAAAAGGATTTGAAAATTTTAATATGAAACTTATACATTAATCAGCTATACAATAGAAAAACGAAAAGAGGATAATAAAGAAGTGAAAGAAAAATGAATTTTTAAATTGTAATATGCATATACATTAATTACAATATTATATATATATATAGGGCATTCTCCGAGAGATTTTCAGTCAAAATTTTTTTTTTATTGAACCAATTTTTTTCGAATTCTATATGAAAAATAAGTAAATACCTGTTTTTTTATTTTATTATTTGATCAAAATTACGGAAGTTATGATTTTCTGAAATGGTTACATTTCAGAAGCACGGCACTTTTGAAACACTTTTTTATCTGTTAAATCAAAAGATAAAAAATAATGTAAAATATGGAAATTATTTGTTTTTTCTCGAATATTTCAAATATGTAATAAAAAAAAACGTTAATAAAGCTAAAATAATAAATAATTTGAAATTTCGTCTAAAAAGTGACTTTTCTCAAAACCGAAGTAATCGATTTTCGATTTTTTTCTTTTATTAGAATCACTGATAAATAAAGAAATTTTTCTTTCTTATGCCAAAGTGGTGTTCTTTAGAGTTTAAAGGATATTTAAAATTATGTGAGTCGTTGCACAGAGTTTAGAAAAGGAAATTCAGAAATGAAAACACTTCAAAACTCCATTTCATTAGTAAGGCACTTGTTTTTTTGTAATTGAAGGTTAATTTTTTAACAAGTGTATAAAAGTCGATGAAAAATTCTCCAATTTTGTACTATTTACGTACGATGACTTCGAAACAATTTTTCATCACTATAAAATATAATTAATCATTATAAAAGTAAAAATTTACGTGCAATAAATAAAGAACTGTTTAATAAACTTTTGACAATAAATCAAGCAAATATTTTGGACAATTTTGGTCAGATATTGTTAATCGAGAATATGTTATGATTGTAGATAATGAATTAGAGTTTACAAAAAGTTTGCAAATTGAAAATAAAAGTAGATAGTTATTAATTAATAGTTTACTTTAATTAATTATCCATTTTTTGAAATATTTTTTTACCCGCACGCCTTTTTTACTTACGATATCTTTAGTGAAAATTTAATTTTCGTTGACAGGATTTAAAATTGAAATTATAATTTTTTAAAATAATTTATTCAATTAATAAAATTAAAATAATTTCAACTTAGAATAGTATAATTTATTTATTGTAAATTTTATAAATAATAAATCTGATTAAACTTTATAGAGCTGTTTATTTATTCAATAATAAATATAATTTTTAATGGAAATAATATATAACACAAAAATAAATTTAACGTTTTGAAACAAAACGTTTTCTTTTGGCTGGTTTCTCAGCTGGTTTTAATTTTTTACAATTTTGACGTTTTCTTTGAGGTTTTTGTACCTTTAGTAAACTAACATCTTTAAATTCAGTCGCAGATGAGTAATATTTTACTCGTAATTCGAATGCTTTGCGTGGTTCTATATAATGGAATTGTTGGGTCTCTACTACTGACGTACATTTCTCAAATCGCTGTTCAAGGAAAGCTTTAATTTGGTTATAATCCTCTTGGCGTTTAAACATTACTTCAGTTTTCTTTAAATTATTATCTTTTTTCGCCCATTCGTATAGTTCATGAGGAGTTGTTATCAAAGTGTCACCAGTCATCTGCAAACTTGCTTTACTTGCCATGTTTTTAAGAACTGCACCAGCCCCATCACACGGTCCTTTACCATGTGCTGTGGCGTGGAAGTTCCATACAGCAGTTCGTTTAAAATCTTCTTGATGACAAGAAATATTGGCGAAATGTTTGTAGTTTTTAAATTGTGAAGGGGCACCGTCAGAAAAATACACCAGATGCTCGATAAAAGGATAGGACGACGATAAATAATCATTAAATGCTTTGATGAACACATGCACAGCGACAGCATCGTGAGTCAAACAATCAGAAATAAAAACTAAACTTTTGTGGTCTAATACATTATCCTTCTTAAAATAGAAGACAATTGGAAAGATTGTCGCCTGATTATTGCTCCAATGAAAACCGGGAATAGCATTTTGTATTACAAAAGCAT